AGGGACGTCCCGGCTTCCTCAAGTCCCGTGGGGGGGGGGGGGCATGCGCCCGCACGGTTAGTGGGCCGTGGTGTGTGAGGGCCTTGGCTCTGACCCATCGCAGTGTCCCCCAGGGATCTGTGTTGAGAAGGATTCTGAGGTCTCGTCCAGCTGGGCCTGGCCAGAGAGAATGCTTGACCCATCTGTCACGTCTGTCTGCGAGAAGTGTGCTGGTCCATGTGCCTTTGTCCACTCTTCCCTTAAAAAATAGCAGGCTTCCATTAAGTAGTTTCCTTCATCTTCCCAAAACATAGGCGCTTGGTGAATGGGAATTCAGCCTTTTGTTATTCCAATAATGTTGGTGTGGGAAACATTGATTAACCCCTTAAGTGGGAAAAGGGAGCTGGACCTTCACAACTGGAAAGTCACCCTCCCCGGAGGAGGGCCGGGGAAAGAGCGGAGACGCCCTGCAGAGGTCAAGGGCGAGCAGATGTGCACCCCACGCCCCCCCTGCCCCGCCCCGAGCTGTTCCTGCGGAGGCTGGGGTCTGGCAGCTCAGACTGGGACTGGGTATTGGACAGGGCCCGACTTCCTCCCTGAAAACAAAGTCTTCCCAATGAGTCACTGCTGTGCGTGGGAGACAAGTGGACACGGGTTGGGAAACAGAAGCTGCATGCCCCCCTGTGCTTGTCTCTGCTGTGGGAACACTGCCCCCTGGAGCTCGGGGCTTGGCGGGGCCTCGGGGAGCTCCTCCTGGGGCCTGGAACCAGGGCTGGCTCTGTGGGCACAGAGCGGGTGGCGCGGCCGTCGCCCGGGGCCCCCGAGCTCCGTGCACGCGTCTGATGCTGCCGTCCTGAGGTCCTGGACACCTCGGAACACTTCTCGTCGCCTCCGTCTGCCTCAGAGGCCGGCCCCGGGTCCCGCAGCTACGGGACGGCTGTCTCACTGTCGGGGCGTGTGGGACCCAGGGTGGGCGGGGGGCACGTTTCCCGGGCCAGGCCCAGTGCTGGGGCTGGTGGACCGCCGTGGCCGAGGCTCCAGCGGGAGAGAGGGACACGTTGGCGGAAACAGGGTGCTCGGAGCCAGGCCCAGCCAGCCTGGCAGAGCAGGTGGGCACGGGTCCCGCACTGGGCGGGGCGTCCTTGTCTGGGTGATACCTTGAGGTGATTTGAGGTGGGCTCGGAGGGGTTCTGAGAGGGAAGTGGGAGTCAGGGCAGTTCTGCTTGGGCAAGACGCAGCCCGGAGCTGGGGGACGGGCATGGGGTCCGAGCAGGGAGAGGAGGGAGCAGGCAGAGCTGGAGGGGGCAGAGACGAGCTGTGGCGGCCTGCAGGCTGGGGAGTTGCCCCTTCCTTCTGAGGGGTGGGGGAGGCAAGGAGAGGACCTGACCAGAGCTGGGTCGGGTCCTGCTGGCGTCTGTGGGGTGGGTGTGTGGGGCAGAAGGGGGCAGGGTGTGCAGGAAGCCTGCTCCGAGGGGCTCAGGCCGGGACCAGCAGAGGTGGCCAGGACAGAGAGGGTTCCGGAAGGAGCAGGCAGCTCAGCAGGAACAGGAGGCGGTGATGGGGCCTGAGGGCGAGAGAGCCGGAGAAGCTGAGCACAGTCCTGACTTCTGGTGCCAGGGCCTGGCTGGGGTGCCCCGCCCGCCGGGACGCGTGAGGGAGGAGGCAGGTGAGGAGGGAGGAGGAGTCCGGCTGGGCCAGGAGCTGTCCGCGGGGGTCTCAGTGCAGAGCCACGCGTCCTGAGTCACTGAACACTGTCCTGCCGGGGCTCCGCCGGCCAACAGCAGGCTGGAGGAGGGCGGGAGGGCGGGCACCCTTCTTAAAAGAGCCCTTGAATCATTTGTTTGGAGCCTTTGCTGGTGGGAGCAGGCCAGTGCAGGAAGGGTGTGGCCTTGGGTCCCGGCAGAGGGAAGGGGCGGAGCCGGCGCGGAGCTCAGAGGAGCCCCGGGCGTTCCAGAGGTGGGGGCTGCGTGCAGCGTGGGGGGCCTCAGAGCGGCGCCCTGCTGAGCTGGCCTAGCTCAGAGGCCACAGATCCCAGGCAGCCTGCCCGCCCCTCAGGCAGGGTTTTCAGAGACAGAAATCTTCCCTGCACGTGGATAGGGGGCCTCTAGCAACGGGACGCAGACCGGACGCCTGGCCTGGGGCCGCAGTCGGTCCATTAAAGCCGGCATGGGCCCCGGCCGGTTTGGCTCAGCGGTTAGAGCGTCGGCCTGCGGTCCGGAGAGACCTGAGTTCGGTTCCCGCTAAGGGCATGTACCTCGGTTGCCGTTTGTCACCGGCCCTGGTTGGGTCATGTGGGTGGCAACCACTCGATGTGTCCCTTTCACGTCGATGTTTCTCTCTCCCTCCCACTCTGTCTGAACAAAATATCGAAAAATGTCCTCGGCTGAGGATAAAAAAATAAAATAAAAATAAATAAATAAATAAAAAAGCCGACATGGGCTCCAGAGGAAGGGCCCGGCCAGGCTGATTTCTTTAGGAAACTAAATTATAGATCGTAGTTTGGGTTCGGAAGTGGCCTGGGCACGGCTTATGAATATGAATAAATGTAGCTTCCAAACTGCGAAAACAGCTCCAGAGCTGAAAAGCCCCAGCAGTCTGCGTTACCGATTCAAGTGAGACCTTCACGAAACGCACGATTTTAGTCCCTGTCCACGCGGCGACAGATTTGAACAAGCGCGGCGTCACCCCATCTGTAAGCCGGCTCCGCACCCTTGCTGGGTTCCGTCCACTCGCTGCAACGTACTCAGGGTCACCCGTCTCTGTTTTCTTTTCTTTTCTTTTTTTTTTTTTTATCCTCACCCGAGGACATTTTTTCATTTTTTGTACAGATAGAGTGGGAGGGAGAGAGAGGAACAGAGAGAGAGAGAAACATCGACGTGAAAGGGACACATCGAGTGGCTGCCACCCTCACGACCGACCAGGGCCGGGGACAAACTGCAACCGAGGTACATGCCCTTAGCGGGAACCGAACCCGGGTCTCTCTGGACTGACCACAGGCCAACGCTCTAACCGCTGAGCCACACCGGCCAGGGCCCGTCTGTTTTCTTCCCCGCAGGTTCCAGCCTGCACCTGTTCCGGACACCCGGCTTGGTCTTAGCCACTTGGGACACCCGGCTCACCCTTTGTGGCCTGGTGGGTGGTTGGGGTGCTGGGGTGAACATGAACGATGCAACCCTGTCCTCATGGAGCTCAGGGTCCTGGCCCCTAGAGTGTGCACATCCTGGGTGGCCTTTGTCACCAGGAGGAGTGGTGGCGTCCAGGGTATGTCAAGGGAGTCTGTGAGAGAGTGGACATGGGGTGATTAAAGGCTTGGTGCGTCGGTTCATGTCCTGGCTTCACCACCTGCCAGCTGCACGGCCTTGACTAGGTGACCTCACCTCTCAGAGCCTCAGTTCCCTTCTCTCTCGAGTGCGGATGGCGACACCTGCCTCAGAGCATCGTTGTGAGGGTTACCTGAGGTCCCATACAGACTGCGTGTAGCATAGGGCCGGGCACCCAGCACTGGGCATTGAGGGCCGGGCACCCAGTGACCAGGAGCTGCTGCTGTTTTTGTAGCTGTTGGCTAGTGATGCCCAAGCTGAGCCTGGAAGCTGAGGAATTGCTGGCCTGGTGGGGGGAGAGGGGCACCCGCCTGGGACAGTGTCACGGGCACAGAGGGAGGCCTGGCCAATTGGAGCAGAGCGGGGACGATAAGGGCACTGGAGGGGGGGGTTGAGGCAGAGGCCAGGCCCTGAAAGACCTAAGCCATGCCGGGGATTTGGGACAAGCCTGAGAATGCTTTCCGTGTGCTGGGCGTGGGGTGCGCTTGGCTGCGGTCCTCCAGGCCAGGAAGCCAGCCAACCTTGTGGGTGGAGTCGGAGGAGATAGAAATCAGCGGGGCATTGTTGACCCAGAAACCCAAGTCTTGCAGTTGTACAGTCTGGGGCTTCCTGCAGGTGTTCAGCTGGAGGGGAGGAACGAGTCTCCACCAGCAGGGCTGGAGGTCACAGCCCTGCTCCGACCTCAGGCTGAGTCATGTCACTGGAGCTCGGCCATAGCAGCCCGGCCCGCTCCCCTGTGTTGGGCAGCGTGGACAGCTGGAGAAGCAGGAGGGCCCACCCGTCCTGAAGACTGCTGCCACGCTGTAGTCCGAGGCTGGTATTGCCAACCTGCTCGTCTCCAGAGGGGAAAATCACAACCTGTTGTGAGCTCCAAGCCTTGTGCCTCTGGTTCCGAGAGTGTTTGCAGCCGGCTGTCCTTCCCGCCCTCTGTCCCCAGGGGTCTCCCTGAGCTCCAGGCATTTCCCGGGCCGTCCAGCAGGGGGCACTCACCCACTGCCCCAGGGACTTGGCTCTGCTGTAGAAACCCCCCACCAGGGCAGCTTCCTCCGTTACCCATCAGCCTTTCTACCTTCACTTTTCTTACCCTTGGATTTTGGGGGCAAATCTCAGGGAATTTACAAAGTTGTAATTTAGTCCCCAGCACACAGTTTCATTGAGTATAAAAGAGCTATTGGAAATGATCATACACCCCTGGCCGTTTTCGCCCTGGTGTTAGAGCATCAGCCCGCGGACCGAAAGTCCCTGGTTCAATTCAACCAAGGTTGCGGTTTGTCCCTGGCCCTGGTTGGGGTCTTGCAGGTGGCAGCCGATCTATGTGTCTTTCTTGCATCGATGTTTCCCCCTCCCCCATCTGAAGATAGATGGAAAAATATCCGGGTGAGGAAAAGAAAAAAAAGAAAAGAAATTATCATACAAAAGCCCCCTCCCCCCAAACAAAAGTCAAACAGGACAACTCAGTGTCCTGAACAGCCGAGGGTCCTCAATCAAAGAACCCCAGGTTCCGCCGGGCCTAAGGAGGGGGGAGCTCACAGCCTGCCGGGGTGTCGCCCTGCAGGGTGGCTTCACGGTGTCTCAGCTGGGCCCAGGAACCCTGTGGGGAGCCCAGGGGAGAGTGCGCTGGGTCTTTAAATAACCCATTGGGGGTGGGGCGTGAACGAGCCAGTTTCACTGGGAATAATTCTCCCTCTGTGTCCCCAGCAGCTCCCCAGCGGCAGCCCACTCGGACCTCCCTCCGCCGGCCTCAGCACACGCAGCTCTGCCTTCTGCCTCGGCTGGCGACGGAGTAGAAGCGCCCACTCCCTCCTGCCAGGGTCTGGCCAAGGACTTGGGCAGGTATTGTACAAAACTCTCTCCCCCCACAGCCCTTGGGGTGTTGACCGTTTGGACCTGTGACGCCGTGTTGGGTACGATGGCCCAGCCAAGGTGGCACATGACATTAACTGTCACAGCAGGTACAGAGGGCTCCGGTCCCTATGCAAACGGTTGGTTCTGATTATAAACCATCTGCTTGGCTCTTCGAGTCCCCTGAAGAGCCTTCTTGGACAGGGTGGTGTCTTGGGGCGCAATGCACCTGGGTGCGTCGAGGAGGGAACACCTGTGGCCACCGAGAGCCCTGCTCCCTGGGGAGGCACCGAGGGGCCGGAACTAAGCCCAGGGAGAGGGTGAGACCAGGGGCCGCCCACTAGGTGGTCAGCTGTCAGGGAGAGTGTCCGGAGTGGTAGAGGAATCGGGAGAAGAGGCTCGCTCTGCAGCCGTGGCCCTGGACACCCAGGGAGGAGTGGGGACGGCGTTCGCCCGGAGCCCCTCTCGCCCGGACAGCGTTCTGTGGGCGTAAGCTCTTTCTCCCGCGTCTCCTGAGAGCTCCCTGATGCGACAGGTCCTGAGCCCCAGCCGGTGCGGCCCTCCACCTGCAGTCCCTCAGCTTCCGGGGACAGGGCAGGGCATTCAGTCCCCGTCTTGGCTGCGGTGTGGTGCCCGCCCGCCCGCTGCAGCCCGGGGAATGGGGGACCTGCGGGAGGCCTGCCTGCTGGAGGCAGCGTGGGAGTCTACGCACGGGACATTGTGGGTGTTCAGAGAGACGCCTTGGTCCACCTTGGACTAGCAGGTGCTTAATAAATGTACATTCAAGAAGTGAACCCGCCAGTGTGGCTCAGTGGTTGAGCGTTGACCCAGGCACCAGGAGGTCGCCGGTTCGATTCCCGGTCAGGGCACAAGCCCAGGTCGTGGGCCCGATCCCCAGTGGGGGGCGTGCAGGAGGAGGCCGATGGATGTTCTCTCTCATCGATGTTTCCGTTTCTCTCTCCCTCTTCCTTCTTCTCTCTTCTAAAATCAATTAAAAATATATATATATATACATAAAAAGCAGTAAATAAAATTACTCTTAAATATTCTGCCCTTTGGTTCCTACAAGTTAAACATGCATCTGCCATATGACCCAGAAAACCCACCTTTCGGTGTGAACCCATGAAAATGGAAAATGTCTACCCCCTGAAAACCTGTATCCTGAGAGCAGTTTTACTCAGCATCACCCTAGAGCGGAAGCGGCTGAGTGTGCACCCACTGGTGAAGAGTAAACGAAGTGGGTGTGCCGGGCACCCTGCAGACACTGCTGGGCAGTGAGGGGCCCAGGCCCCGTCCTCGGCAGCAGGCCGGCCGGAGCAGTGCCCTGGGCCAAGAGAGGGGCAGACGGCAGGCTGTCCATAGGGTTCTGTGGGGCAGGCACAGATCTGTGAGCTGCCCGGGGCTGCTGTCGGGCTGGGGACAGGCCAGGGCCACGAAGGATCGTCACAGGCGATGGAGGTGTGCCGTCTTGGTGGTAGCAGTTGTCACATGACGGTGTCTCAACGTGGAACTGTGTACCTAGAGGACGAAGTTCGCTGTATGTAAGTTACATCTCAGTTAGAAAAAAAGAACCAAGCGTATCCAAGGGCTAGAGTAGATTTGTTGTCTCTCTCTCCCTCTCCTTTCACGCACGCACGCACGCACACCTGTGCTCTCCAGACCGTTCCCTGAGACAGTCTGGGGGCCATCAAGCTTCCCTGGTGCACCCGCAGGTGTGAGTGGTGCCCACCTGCCCAGTGTCCTCTCTCCTGAGGTCCCCTGGGCTCCAGGCTTTAACCTTCTCAAGGTGCATCTGGGTCACCTCCCCTTGGTGTCCGTTCCCGGTTGGGGTGCCTTCCAAATCACCCTCATTTATGTGTCTGAATAGTCAGCAGCACCAGTTTGGGGTTCCTCTGGGCCAGGTGCTGTGCAAGAGAGAGGCCCCGCCCCCATGGCCCTCACAGCCCACTGGAGAACACAGACACGGAGGACGCATGGGACGGGAGAGGGTGCAGGGTGTGGGGAGGAACCTGGACGTCCCCGGTCTGCGTGGCTGGGCAGGGCTCTCCGGGGGGTGACCTCGGAGCTGAGGCCTGCGTGGGCGGAGAACCTGCTCCCAGGGGAGGACCCGCCTGCGCAGAGCCCGGAGGGGAGGGGAGGGATCCAAACCCAAGTGTCATGTGGCTGGACCTGGACAGGAGGGACGGAGGATGGCATGGCGGGCAGAGGCCGGCCACGCCCAGGCTGCGGCACAGGTCGCTAGGAATTGGGGTTTTTTTCCCTCCCTTGGCAGAATTTCTGTGTTAATAGACTCCTCTTAGGAATAGTTTCAGATTTTCCGAGGAATTGAGAAATGGCCCGGAGGGTCCTTTATCTCGCAGTTTCCCCGACCTTCACGGCGTGACGCTAGCGGGCTGATCCGGACGCGACTGAGCCAGTGCCGGTGCATCATCACTAACTAAGGTCCAGTTTACTCGGGTGTCCTTACTTTCTCCCTCAGGCCCCTTCTCTGCCCCGCGCCCTGTCCAGGGCACCGCAGCCCACGGTCACCCTGCCCCCGGGCTGCCCTTGGCGGGACCGTTTCTCAGCCGCTCCTGTTCCGATGACCTGGACAGCTCGAGGGCTGGGCGGCTGTTTGGCAGAATGTCTCTCAGCTGGGGACCGTCTGACGTGTTTCTCCTGATGGGACAGAGCCGCCTGCTCTGTGACGGTGACGTTGACCTTGACGGCTGGGCCGAGGTCGCGTGCTCGGGTTCCCCCATCAAGTTCCTCTCCTGCCCCCTCTTCCACGCCGTCCCCTTGGGAAGGGAGTCACTGCCCAGCCCACGCTCAGCCCTGGGCGCATTCCCTTTGGGGTGAAGCCCCTCACACGGGTTCGGAGTTCTGCACAGGGGCTCCGTCCTGCCCCCGTTCCGCGATGTCGGCAGGCGTTTCTCTGTGTCAGTGTGGACTTGCGGGGATGCCTTGGGATTTAGGGGATCCACTGCCACCGTGTTCACTGTGTTGCTCAAGTGCTCCAGCTCGGCCACAGCCCACTGTCTCCGAGGGCGTCACTTTGAGCGTCCAGCAGCCTGGAGGCGGGACAGAGAGGTGACGAGGTTGTGCTGTTCCAGGGTCTCCCGCTGCCCGGCTGGCAGGAGGGGTCTCAGCGCTCACAGGGCCCCGTGCCCTGCGGCTCTGAGGCCTGGCCCGGTGGCGTGGACGGGATGAGGGCGGCTGGGATTCCTTCACCTTGTCCCCCCACTGCCCCTTCCCGGCGCTGCCCACTCCACTCTCTGTGGCCTGGATCCGGGGTCCCCAGAACCCTCGTCTCCCCCACTGGCGGTTCCCGGAGGTTTTCGAAGCAGGTTTCAAAGCGCACAGGTCGTAGTTCCATTTCGCTGAGATGGGGGGCACTGTCACCAAGCCGGGCCGAGCCCGAGGGCCGTCGGTCTCACGATGGGAGACACATGGTCCATCCGTTCCCGTGTGCAGACGTGCCTGGTGTAGGGCGTGTCGTGTGCTCACCATGCACACGCACCGTGGTCCCCCACCCCGGGCTCCGTCGGCCCCTGTCGTCGTGGGGACCCCAGAGCAGTGAGCTCTGTCTCGACAGAAAGCTGGAGACTGATGCGTTCTGCTCCCGTGGACGGGACAGCCCCACGTGCCCAGTGCTGACGGCCTTTCTCTGGGCCTCTTCCCGCCCCGCCCCCGCGCCCACTGGTGGTCAGCAGTCTTGGGGAGAACCGGTGTGACTGAGAGAGGCATGGAGAGCAGAGGGAAGTCTTCCTCTGCCCCCGGCCCTGCCCGAGGCGACGAGCTTCTCCTGGGAGGAGCCCTGACCACTGCAGTGGCCCAGCCTCCCTCCGGGGCCCTTCCTGCGGCCTCCGCGCCCTCCCTGGCCGACCAGAGCCGTTGGGGCAGCGTCATGCAGGGATTACACGAGCTCTAAGAGGCTGCGGCCAGGCAGGGAGTCTGATGATAAAGACTTTCCAGGAATGTGCCCTGGCCAGTTTGGCTCAGCGGTGAGAGCGTCGGCCTGCGGACCAGAGTCCCGGGTTCGGTTCCCGCTGGGGGCACGAGCCTCGGTTGCAGTTTGTCCCCGGCCCCGGTCGGGGTCGTGTGGGTGGCAGCCAGTCGATGTGTCTCTCTCACATCCATGTTTAGGGGAAAACAAAGAATTTCCAGGAATGCAAGCCGAAACCCTCACTCAGGCGGAAGCAGCCAGACCTGACCGCGGGGCGTGGCTCCTGGGAGGAGGGGCAGGGGGGCAAAGAGCCTGGAGTGTTGGCAGGGGGGCCGGGCAGGACACGGACCTGAGCAAACGTCGTCCCTGCTCAGAGCTGGCCTCCCGCGCTGCCTGCTGGGGACGGCGGTCCCTTAGGAATCAGTAACTTGGAAACCCGGCCATGGGCTCCCTCGTTCCTGGTGCTGATGCTGGAGGCCGGGACACCCCCAGACAAATGCACCCTGAGCTGCAGCAGGGGGTGGGTGGGGGCATGGCCTGGGCTCACGGGGATTCTGGCGAGTGTCCCCAGTCCCTGCCCGCTGTGGGCAGCCCCGAATTGCTCCAATCTTTCTATCAACATTTCTCCTGACCCAAGAGCCTTCCTGGGCAGCAGAGGAGTGAAGAGCCTTCTCTCCGCTCCCTCCAAGGGCGGGGCCCTCTCGGCAGCCCCTGGAAAATCCTGCACTTGGAACTCAGAACCAGCCCACCGCTGGCTCACAGCTCAGCCGTTAACACTGTGGGCGGGGTCAGGACCGTCCTTTCTGTTTTGTTCTGTGTTGTTGAGGTTGCTGATGCTGTCTGGTGACAAGATGCTGCTCCGGTGTGGCTCAGTGGATGGAGCGTCGTCCCATGACTGAGAGGTCTGGGTTTGATTCCCCATTGGGGCACAGGCCCCAGTTGTGGGCTCGATCCCCAGTAGGGGGCGTGCAGGAGGCAGCCGATCCATGTTTCTCTCTCACATTGATATTTCTCTCTCTCTCTCTCTCCCTTCCTCTGCCTCTGAAAAATCAATAAAAACATATTT